GTCTTCCAGAACCACTAGGATATATTCCGGAGCGTACTATTTAAGAAAGGTCTCAGAATTATTTCATTTGTGTTTAGGTATCACTGAAACCATAAGAGTGAGTGAGTGAGTTGGGTTTAACGCCGCTTTTAACAGTATTCCAGTTACATCGCGGCGTGTCAGCTTAAAGTGGGAGGAAAACCCCAAGTGATGCAGGTTTCAGATGTTTACCACTTCGGTAAAACCCACGAGCATGGATATGGTGCTGACAAACCTAGAAACATAATCGGGGCGAACCGGGATTCGAACCCACAATCACAGGTTTCTGGCGTGCCAAAGGGACGGAACTCTGCACAGCGAATCGCGGCGCCTTAAATGACTTGGTCACCCGTGCCCCCACTTGTCGTAAGAAGCAACAGCATGGATCGGACTTGGTTGTGTCTTGTCATCGTATCCTGGACGTGAATCATTGCTCACAATATCGATCACTGGATTGTCCGGCCCAGACTCGATTATGTACATCTAGCTGAAACATTGTTGCGTTAGGCGTTTGGATCACTGGATTGTCTGGTCCAGACAGCTCACGCGCCGATCTACAGCTCGAATGTTGCGGAGAGTAGCTTTAAACAAACAATGGAAAACATAAATTACCATGCATCTCCCTGCTGATGACTAACTGTGCTGCGGTTATCTATATGTGCATATCAAGGACGCTTTATATGTGTGACAGTATCAACGCCCTATTTAGTTTGTGTGTTGTGGCGTTGTCCTGTCGTGAGTACCGTCAGTGAGTTTGGTTTAACGCAGCTTTTAAAAGGATCACGGCGTGTCAGCTTAATGGGAGGAAAACCCGAACCCACGATTATTGGTTTCTTGTGTGCCCAAAGGACGCAACCCCGCACAGCGAACTGAGATGCCTTAGAAGACTGGGCCACCCGCGCCCCTGCTACCATGAACATATTAATTGCGGTATTAGTAATATTATTAGTATTAGTATGAGTAGCAGCTGTAGTAGCAATTCGAATAAGTAAGAGCCGAGGTGTAGCCTAGTGGTTAAAGCGGCAGCTCATCATATCGAAGACATAGGTTCGATTCCCAACATGGGTACAGTGTGTGGAGCCCATTTCGCGTGACCCCAGTCGTGATATTGCTGGAATATTGCTAACAGCGGTGTAAAATCATATTTGATCACACACACACACTCGAAGTTGTGACAGCCTGGACATGAACTCTGTTTTTGTGGAAACGTTGCACTATTATCTGAAGGGACAAGGGTAAGCTGAGCAAAGTTCATACAGTACATCTCAAGGCAGCATCGTTGTACCTCTGCACTCATAAAGTCAATGGTCAAATCGCGCTGACGTCACAGCTCACCGTCTCCTTCGAACTGAAATACTACATGCCATGACCCAACAATCAGATTCGTCCCTTAGCAGGGATTCACAACGAGCGTTGTTAACTGCGTCGCCGCTAAAAGAATTATTTAATTGGAAGCATTTCTTCATCAAACCCGACCAATATGCTTTTTACAAAGTTGGCTTTCACTCGTCTACTCTGTGGTGCGCAGATTCTGGACATTAATCCGGCAAAAGAGGGCGATAAGATTAATTTCATTCTATTGTCCATTTATTCATAATGCTTTTGGAAATATTTGATCTGAATCAGAGGTTTCAAATAAGAATAACATGCCTCTGATTATTTAATGCGTATAAACCCCCATGGTGTTACAGACCATAGCTTTCTAAGTTGTTTCTGTGTAACAATAGTAATTATATTCGTAAGTTTATTTCTGCGCCGAAGTGTGCATTGCAATGGAAAATCAATGTATTGTATTTTCATTATTTTGTGAGGAAAAAATATTTTGCTGCACCGAAATAACAGAAAGGTATGGGTTATCGCGTCCTGTGGAAAAGTTCATTGTTTTTTTAGTGTAGTTCATGCTTTTAATATTATTGTTTGTGGTTGAGAGATTCAGTGAATTGCTCCTTTCGGTGAGGTGAGATGAAATAAGGTTTAACATCGCGGTCGAGATTATTGCACTTTTATGGCGACGTGCATGCACGTGTGTGTGTGTGGCTGCTTGTAATAGTGCGGACTAATGCCGATTTTATAGTGCTATTTAAAGTGCTGAGATACCATGCATAAGTTTTACATGACTACCCCACACAGACAGAGTATACTGACTCCGAGTCGACCAGTTCTTGTTTTAGCCCCTTAATGCCGAGCGCCAGGCCAGGAAATAACAAGTATCATCTTTCAGCGTCTATTGGTATGACGCGATCGGGAATCGAACCCCGGACCTTCCGCTCCCCTGGCGGACGCTCTACCACTAGACCAAGGAGGCGGTCCGGCCACAGGACGAGGATGAGTTGCTTGTGACATAATCTGATCCGGAATCCACACAAGGGTAATCCACGATAAACCGAAAACCAAAGAAATAATACAACTGGAATCAAGACCACTTCGCATTATTTAGTTGTTAATGATGTGTGTCCTAAAGGTCACACCTTCAATCTATACACCGTAAAGCCCCGTTCATCCAGACATTACGTTCCCAGTGAAGATGTTCGGGTTAAAGAATTATTTCCGGATAATCGAATTATTATAACTCAGTACTTACTAGGATATAAATACGATGTACGTGTTTTTCGTGTTTAGCTAGGTTACCCGTAGATTTAACCACGCTAAATTCAATTTGGAACTGAACTCTCAACTTGGGGTTTCAAATGTTCAATTTACCGCGGTTAAATTTCAAATTAAGCATGATAGGTAAGGGGTCATCACCCTAATTTTAAAAGGAAAAGATTAAGGGGTCCCCAGCTTATATTAATTGCGATTTGATGTGCAGGTAGGACGCTCTATGTTGAAAACACTGTATGTTGGTTTACCTCCACTCCCGCATGACAAAACAAAACGCGAGCTCGTTGGTGTTGGTTATGGGTTGCATCCAATGTTTTGCGTTGGTTGTCGATCTTAAATAACGAAACACTTCAGCCTCTAAACAAAATAGGCTCTGCATATGCCAAAACATAGTTCTTGTATCACCCAACTCGTATGTGTGACGATATCGAAAGTGTGTAGCATCGCTACTTCGTAAGCTGACATAAAGTGTGTAGCATCGCTACTTCGTAAGCTGACATAAAGTGTGTAGCATCGCTACTTCGTAAGCTGACATAAAGTGTGTAGCATCGCTACTTCGTAAACTGACATAAAGTGTGTAGCATCGCTACTTCGTAAGCTGACATAAAGTGTGTAGCATCGCTACTTCGTAAGCTGACATAAAGTGTGTAGCATCGCTACTTCGTAAGCTGACATAAAGTGTGTAGCATCGCTACTTCGTAAGCTGACATAAAGTGTGTACCCCTCTAAAGTGTGTTCAAGCTCTCTAACGTCCCCAAAACTTGAAATATATTATGTTTGTCGATTGATGTCATAATTTCTTCCCAAACTGTATTGCCACACACACTTTGAGTATTATAGTATGCACATCTCCGCACGTTGTAACCTACACATATCCCTACATAACAAAATTAAAATGCCTACCGATAATGACCGTGAAAAATACTTTTGAATAAATATTTTCTTCCACCTGTTTCACAAATCAGAATCGATTACTAATATTTTCCAAATTCAAGGTAGAATGTCCATTTAACTATATATATATCAGTAATTGTCGTGAGGACGATGTGTCACAGTATGTGATTCTGCCCATGTTAAGGAACCTGTCATAACACACATGCCTCGCTAACAGTACACACTGCCTTGGGTTCGAGTAGTGATGTTCAGTAACATGGATACAAACCAACCGTGTTTCAATGCAGAGATATGTTATCAGTGGAGTTGATATTTGCTCAATTTATCTGTTAGAAACTGACGCTATCGCGTCGGGTATTTTTTCTGGAGAACGATATGACGTCAAAATAGCGGTGTGTGCTTGACATCTATTGTCTTCATTTTCTCTCGGGTGGACCGTTTAGATATTGTTTACAGGACATTTACACCAGATTGAATTATTGGTCCGATTAACTTGTGAATGGTATGGTTTGTATGTATGCAAAATACGTAAGATATTAAATGAGGTCGTCCTTGATGTGTGATATTACAGTGACATGTGACCATCCTTGAGATACAACCGCAGCTCAAAAGCCATCCATTTCTCAACGATTTCAGTTACAGATTTCGAATCACTGCTCTATATCTTGAAATATAAAACACAGTAGGCTCAAAGCAAAATGCTCTGCTGGTTTCGTTTATGACAAATGCCTTACACCAGTCGGTTAAAATAGATCACGCTTAAAGAATCATTACATGATCACATGATCACATGATGACCTTGTTGCCAGAGACAATATAATAGATGGTCTCTGCCTTATTGCGTAATTGAAAGAATCATTGCGGTCAAAAGATAACAATACTTGAGAGTTACCATTAATGATCCATGTTATAAATATAGTGACTTTTTCAGCATGACAGGACGTATCGTTGCCTTGGAATTATGACGTCATTTGTGCACATAAGAATAATTTCTATGAAATTCTGTCCATACTTTTTGCGCATCCGAAATAATCGTTTCTAGGAAATTCTGTCAATAACCGTGCTTATCCCAACGTTACTGAAATAATTTAACGTATCGTTGCTATCAACCAATTCAGCATTTGTACATGTAAGAAAAATCCTTGCTATCGAATACAGACGATAGATTTCCCTGATTTTGTCCTTAACAGAAAGTCAGCTTGGCAGCAACATTTTATACATCTTGAGAAACAGAATTAATCGTTGTTATGAAATACTTGCGATATCTATGCGTGACCGGTAGTATTCTATTGTTTTTACTGTTAACAAGTGTATGTCTGGACTAGTATCCACGTTACTTTTAAACGACGTGACTGTTGAATTTGATGTGACAGTTGCGAAGGTATGTTTAAAAACCACACATGGTCAAATCCAATCATTTTAGACCAAACTTATTACAGTAGGCAAACTGAAGGACTGATTACTTAGACCGAGAAAGTAAGAGGACCTTTGTGTACGTAATACTTTTATTTTCATTTAATAGCATAGCCATTGAAAACATGAACACCAAACAGATTGGTTTCCTTAAAATACTCCGGTAGTTACCTTGATAGAAAAGTGAGATTTGATGAAAATATTGCACTCCATGCTTCATTGCACTGCTGACGACACAAATCTCACTGAGTGGTGGACTCGCAGATCACATGTTCAATCTTGTTAATAGATCTGGGTACATAGATGAAAGACACGGGAGACTAACCAATCGCCACCGAGTCTATCGCCGTGACGTCATAGTGACGTCACAGGAGTAGTTCTTATAGCAACCAGACGACACACACATCTGTCGTTCAATCTAAACTGAAACAAAATAATAAGTTACATTAATAAATACGACATATTTCTCTGTGTATAACAGTCACCTTAATAAGAAGCACTCAATGGCAAGATACATATATCAAAAATTGAGAAATCCTAAACTCCCTTCAAAAGGTGAACGGCGCGAACGCAAATAATCATGAGATATGATCCCAAATGGAAGGATTTGAACCTTTCGGGCAGTGAAACATGTCGCTATCACAGGCAACAATTCCTTGTTATAAGTGTTACAGAACGTCATTTGCCATTATACAAGTCGGTCACATCACGGATGTACAATCATACATCGCAAGACACATACAGAAGTACACCCTGGTTGAGTCTCATCAGCCATCACCGAGTTACACATCAATACTGCTCAAAAACCTGCTCCATTGGTCAAAAGACGAAAAGAAAACAAATAACACAGTCCCTACACAACAACGTCATTAAGCTTTAAGACTCTCCTCAACCTGAAGCTCTATGAGATCGACAAGGCGTAGTCTTCCTTTACTCTCGCCATTATAGATCTTCTTTATCTCCGTGTTACACGGCTTAAAAGGAATATCAATCCGCTCTACCAGAACCTTTGAGATCAAATAGTCCAGGGCGGGCATCTTCAAGCCCCCGGATGTGGCCACACCGGAAGTTGCTGTTCCACTGTCCGTCAAATCGATGTTTTCCTTTTCCTGCAATTCCTGTTTTCCAGACAAATGTCGTTTGCTGCCATCATGCGACCGCCTGAGCGAAGCTTCTCTCAGATCCGGATCTTGTATTGTCCGAACCGATTCGTTGTGGAATGTTTTGGGGCTCCGCGTCACACGAATAGACGTGTACGGGGCTCTAGGGACCAATATCGGCGAACCAGAGCTCCTCGAGATAGCCGAGAGAGAAGAAGAGTGAGAGTTCGATCTGGGTGGGACTGAAGACTTAGAGATGAGTGGAACAGTTGAGGCGAAGGAGTGCCCTACAGTCCTTGTTGTTTGCAAACAAGAGGCGCCAGTGGATATCTGCGCCGTCCTTCCTGAATTAGGCTGGGTGGATTTGCTGGCTCCTGAGAGCGAACCTGCTGTGGTTGGTTGAGGAACCACACTCCCAGTACTTGTGGATTTGAGTGTGTCGACGGATGGCTGGTGCGCCGTGGTTGGAGACGAAGGATGGCCGTGGGAGGTTGGTGTGTCTACGAAGGGTCTCCAATGTATCCTGGGTCCCTCTGCCACGTCCCTGCCGTTCCAATCTCTACAGGATCGTCCCCAAGGAGAAGATGTGTTCATGTCGCCATGCCAAGGTCGTCGTATAGGTCTGCACCCTTCTTCGATGTTTCCACAAGGTTTCCACAAGTTACCCCGCGTTGTTCCAAAGTTGCTGAGATCAAGGAACGACTGTGCACAGTGCTCGCGACTTTCATAATACTTTGACGAAAGACTGTAGTTAACACTGGGGTGATCGATATGGGTTCTGGCACAAGTCTGAAACACAGGTTTGAATTTGCTTTGAGCAACTGGAGTAATACCTTCAAACGGGACGTGTTCGGCGTTAATGTCCATCCGTTCTTCGTCGTTAGTGACCCGATTATAGTGGAAGGCCCCTTCCACTTCATTCTGCCTACACAAGTCATGCTTTGGCACAACAACGCGATCATAGCACATGTGTTGGCTTTCATACGTACTGTTTCTATCATTAAATCTCGACTTTAAAGTCATTTCACTTTGTGAATCAGAAAACATAGGGCGATCTCCATTTGATGGAGGGGGGCCATATTTCCCGCCATTATACACCGAGTTCCCGCCACCCGATCGTTGTCGGGTACCATGGTTGTTACATCCACAGTCTTTGATGAGGCACAGTGGAGAGTCCTGTCCGTGATGTTTCTCCCCAGAGAGCACCTGCCCATGGGAGGGAGACTCCACAAGCTCGCGTGGCTTCATGCTGAGATCGAGCGGCTGGTCTTCTTCCATCTCAAGCTCAAATGTCTGCATCTGAGGTTCTGTGGCCAGGAGACTACTCTTCCAGGGGGGCGACTCTTCCTCTCTCAAACCCCAGTACCCTGGCACCACCTGGAACAGAAAAAGCAAACTTTGAATGTGACTGTAATGTATTATGCAAAGGGGTATAACAAGGAAATACTTCTGGTGCATTGGACCCCCACTTTACATCCTAATTGTCAGTCATTTCTATTTGCCAATAAACAAATATTTCCAATTTCTGCGTCATATGAATCAGACCCCATATCATCCGTAAGCCATCGTAATCAGAGGCAAGAATACAAGTCAGTGACCATTGTAATCAAAGACACCTGCATGATCAGTGGCTATTGTAATCACATACACATAATACGGTCACTGATCGTTGTAATCAAAGAGACAAACACTATCACTGATCATTGTCATGTAAGACTGAATTATAACCTCTGACCTTTGTAATAAGAGACCCAGACTCAAGTATAATGACAAGCACTTATCTTGACAAAGGCTAATAGAAATGCACTTAAATCAGCTGGTATGACATGTAAAATCCAGTGTGCCTACATCAACAGGAAGACGAAGTACAACAGGAAGGCGAGATACAGCAACAGCAGGAGAAAGAGATACCCCACTGTATGTCAGCAACAGCAGGAGGAAGAGATACAACATTGTATGTCAGCAACAGCAGGAGGAAGAGATACACCACTGTATGTCAGCAACAGCAGGAGGAAGAGATACACCACTGTATGTCAGTAACAGCAGGAGGAAGAGATACACCACTGTATGTCAGCAACAGCAGGAGGAAGAGATACACCACTGTATGTCAGCAACAGCAGGAGGAAGAGATACACCACTGTATGTCAGTAACAGCAGGAGGAAGAGATACACCACTGTATGTCAGCAACAGCAGGAGGAAGAGATACAACACTGTATGTCAGCAACAGCAGGAGGAAGAGATACAACACTGTATGCCAGCAACAGCATGAGGACGAGATACACCACTGTATGTCAGCAACAGCAGGAGGACGAGATACAACACTGTATGCCAGCAACAGCATGAGGACGAGATACACCACTGTATGTCAGCAACAGCAGGAGGACGAGATACAACATTGCACGCCAACAACAGCGGGATAAAGAGATATAACAACACCGTATGCCAAGAACAGCAGGGTTAGGGACAGACAGCTTTTACACTATTCGTTCGCAAGAAAAGGATTGTGGGATAAACAACACTGCCACTGCAACAACAGAAGTGTGGGATAAATAACAAATGTCACTGCAACAACAGAAGTGTGGGATAAACAACACTGTCACTGCAACAACAGTAGTATGGAATAATCAAGACCGTGTCACTGCAACAACAGGAGAATGGGATAAACAACACTGTCACTGCAACAACAAAGTGTGGGATAAACAACACAGCCACTGCAACAACAGGAGTGTGGAATAAACAACACTGTGACTGTAATAACAGGAGTGTTGGGATAAACAACACTGTGTCATTGCAATAACAGGAGAGTGGGATAAATAACAGAATTTAAGTCTAACGCCATCTGTGACAGTCCCAGACAAAGGACGCGTTTGACTGACCGCATAAACATTCCAAACTGTCAAACATGTTTAAGAAATGTTCGTTATCGGTACATACCAGACTGTGAGTGGCAACTCTGAATACAACAGTAGGCACTGTATGTAGCAACTGCAGTCCATGCATATATACGTGCAACAGGTTTTTGAATTACAGAATAATGTGTAGATGCGACGAACTGACAGAGACACGGTTTCACAGGCTAAAACAAATTGGTTATGTCATCAAAAAAAGATTTAACACCGAATTAGTGGTCACTCCGGAGGTTTTCAGTAAAACCAACGTTTTCGCTTCACGAGGGACGAAAGTCTGGCGCATGTTGAAGACTCCTCAGGACAAAATAGCGAGCATGAGTTCCGTCCAATATTATTGGAAAAAGATTTCACTAGGTAATTTCAAGGGATACTACAAATAAACTTAAACCCAACAATAGCAGCGTAAGTGCTGTCGAATATTCAACCCACGTAAACCTCCTAAATATATAAATGTCTACCAAAGCAGCCCACAAGCATACCTTTCTTCATCTATAACACAAACGTATATGATTTATTTCGTTCATACTTAACATTACCAGTTCAATAGAATAATAAAATCATACTTTAGATATTGCAAATTATTTGCAAAATAAACATTTTAGTTGGTTTACATTGTTGAAAGTTTAATTGTGAGTAATTAATAAATGCCGATAGAGTAGAAGTAGAAAAACAAGCAAGCACATACATGTATATGTCAAGTATTTCCCAATGCAAAATACATTTCTAAAGAATCTTTAACTGAGTTGATCGGAGAGAGGAGAGTTTCGGCGTCATCTACCTCAATGTCTGATCAACAAATACATTTGCTTAATATTAATGTGAATCGTCTGTAAATGGAATGTTGCCCACACTATCTGTATACATACATTTCTAGCTACTATGTATCTGAAATCTTGTCATGGCAGTGTACGCTTTCCAGTCTCGTTCTCTTGTAATTTGACGTTTAACATTATGGTGAAATTCGTTTTTAGAATTGAGAAAACCTTTAGTTGGTGCCTATATGTGTAGGATACGAAATGCAGCTGTGAAAATAATTTTAATGGGAGTGGGGACACAACCAGATGTGTGTATTGATCACATAAACCAAACAAACATATTAAAACCAAGATATTGCACGTTAAACATGATTTATTCAGAGGATACCCGAGTAAATCATTTCAGCTGTAATATTTTAATCAAATACTTGCTGAATCATGAATAAAATGACAACATAGTTTCACAATCACGACGATTTCAAATAGAGTCATTGCAACACGCAAATTATTAAGCTTCATTTACAACGATTCGTTAATGTAAATTGAAGAAATTATCTTTTCCATCTCTATCTACTTCCCTGTGTCAGAGAATTTAATACAAACACCACAACATTCGATATTTAAATTAAATTGAATCAAATATAGTTTATGCTAATCTATAAACATGCACCAGGCGGAATAATCTATGGCAGACATTGCAAGTTTATACATGTGTGACATCAGTCTGCTCTGTCACTCCCTCAGGTAATCATGATATAGTTATTTTATACATAAACAGGATAACCGAAGGAATCAGCCAGGTTGTGAATATGCAGTTGCACGACAGACAGACGAGACAATGTGCATGGGCATACCTGTACAGCCTGTGCAGAAATCCCCGACCACATTACGCCTCCCTTACTCTGGGTCATGATGACATGCTATAACCCCTAATAGATAGCAACCTGCCTATACCGTCCCGGCCATATTCACAGACATGTCACAGAGGGGAAATAAAGCCTTGTTGCTTTAATGCTGTCTTACGTTGCTCTGATGCTTTCCTGCACGATAAAGCTTGTAGAGCATGTAATGTAGCTTGGTAATGAACATGCATTAAATATGAATTAAAAACGCCAACGCCACAGCATAGTCAGTCTCTATATACGCGGAACAGATTCCATTGGGTACAAAAGGCAAAATAGTGGTGAAAATAATAGGAATGTATGACATCACCGTTTGTGAAAAGGGTTAGCATGTCCTTCAAGAAATGCAGTTCTTCCAAGTGTCTGTACTTAAGGATATAAGGGAAGTGCTTCTGCCCCACCGACTGGATGTGGGAAGAAGGTACAGGCAGGGTGGGAGGAAAACCTTGGAAATATTGGACAATACAAAGTATTGTCTAGTGTTGGTCCTTAAAATAAAAGCTGCAAAATCATACACAATATATACAGAGTCCATTGTATCATTTCAACTACATCATAAGCATATGTGAATCAGTATCTAATAATGATACCAAGTGTTCGCCAAACGTTGGCCTCCGGGGGCAGCCGTCACAAACACATGAAAATGTACATGCCATGACAAATTTTTTTATCTTTGACGACTATTTGCTGGAGGTGTAATATTTCAACACACGTAGTTGTTCCGGTCTATCTATCTATCTATCTATCCAGGTTGCACTAGCTATAGCGCTGTATCTCTGAATCCAAGCCATCGACAATATTGAGTGTAGTGTTTTCCGTGACTCTCGGTAACAGGCCTATTCTGTTAATAGTTGTTCACCTTTATTTATATAAGCTGTAATATAAGTATAGTGGATTGTGAAGCCTTACATCCCGTTCTTCACTCATGACGCACGTGTGCCATTGCAGGGATTCCCAGTGATCCACCCCTTCTTATCAAGTGTTTCATTCACCTGACCAGGGCAAACGCCGCCATGTCACCCACGACACCCAAGGAATGTATACAATTAGGAAGTTTACAACTTTTAACATAACTTTAATACATGTAATAAATACCCGTTAAAGATACTGTTATCGACGTGGCACAACCCTAAAGCAACCTACGGTTCAGACAATTCATTTTTGGTCACGTCTCCTACATACAATTGGTTATCTTAGAATTGTATCAGCAATCTATTTTATTTCTCCGCTTATGTACACCTTGATTTCTGTCTTATCTGTATGTTTTGTTAGTTGTTTAAGGGGAAGGATATATTTTATAACTAACACTCTCCCCACAACTCGCAGGGGTATCCATATTTTGACATGTGAATTAAGAGGAGAGGATCTCTGCAAAGCATGGACTCTGCAGCCATACATAATGCCACGTTGAGAATGAATGCATTTATTTCTTGCCTGGGTGAGTAAATATTAGTTGAATTAATCTGAGTAAGACTACATCTAGCCTCTGATGAACTGGTCGCATGTTTCATGAAACTGAGCTATAATATATCATTAATTCCAAATATAGCAGTCCTCCCCTCCCCTCCGTAGTCCTATTTTTTTCGAACACATGTGAAATCTAAAGTATAGATGTAACACAGTAAACGTTGAGTGTGTTGAGGTAGTGGGCTGGACGGGTAGACATGAATGCGAATATGCGAGTATTCCTTTTGGAATTTATGATATGTTGTCCTTTGTAAAATCGACGGAAAGGAAATAATAATTTGTAACAAATAAAAGTCCGGATAAATACCGGACAATTTCACTCGAAACTATTTCCAGTGTGTGC